GAAATGGCATAGCACATTATTGAGAGAAGCCTTGGTGCTAAGCTGCTTATTGATAAAAGCACTAATCTGCCTGGCGGAAGGTAAAGGAGGCTGGAATGAGTAGTGATAAAATATTTGAGCTAAAGGCAATGCCATCAGGGAGCTGAGCCTCTACATAGCTTTCCCTAAAGGAGTTTCTCATTTTTTATTAAGTGCGACTCTGACCATCGGTGGCTCAAAGAGCGTGTTTCTGTCAGCGGTGAAATGAGACAGGGCACAGAATACAACTGCCACTGCCTTTCATCTGCTCAGGCAAACAGCTAGAGATATAGAGAATTTCACTCTCTATAGGCCTGTCACAGTTATTACAAAATCACCTGATTGATCTGATCTCATCTCATCTGATTGTGATTATCAAGCACTTTAAATTTCAATCTCATATTACCATCCACAGTTTAGGGCAATGTAGAAATTCCATGAAATGTCTTTATACTGTAGATCAGCATATCACTATAATATAAAATCCAGGTTGGCTGAGTTTCAAAAAGCAACACTTCTAATGGAAAGTGAACTAATGACCGCTATTATTTGTATGACAATTATTCATTATTGTGTCAGCCCAACCTATCTACATTCATCCTTATCGTAGCTTCTCTTCTCATATCATAAGCAAGAATGTAATATGATCAAATCAGAAATGCTCTGCCTCTGGCGCAATAAAAAAAATGACATCGCTTCGTAAACACCCATGTAGAAAAATGCTTCCAAGACAACACCCGCATAAATCAAGCTCCTTGTGGTTGTGTGCAGAAATATATTTGGGAGGAAATGAATCTGACTGTGAACACTTGCATATTACCATAATCATTATCATTATTGTCATCCTTGTCTTTGACGACACTATCATTAGTTGCACATCTGTGTGCTTCTGTGGTGCGCTGCGCTTCGCTGTCGAATAGCTCAACGACATCAGCCATCTCCTTCGGTGACAGAGAAACCGTGTCCTGCCAGTGAAGCACCTCCTGGGTAGGGGCTGTAATCCCTCTTAACAGGTAATCATTGGGATGTTAGATCGATATCGCCAACAACGCATACAGGGACTGGACCAGAGGCGTGAAGATTTACGCAGGTCTTTCCACTACTCAAAACCTCAAGTTTCTGAAAAAGTTTGTGTTCTTTTGAGATGAAAGGAGAGGGAGTGAGAGACAGAGAGAGATGATCCAATTCTACTGTGTCATTTCTGCAGGGCCCATCCCAGCATGCTTGTCAAGATCATGAGAATCGATTAGCCCAAACTCAAAATGTCATGTCGGCCTCATTTATTTGAAGTAGAGATCCAACAGAGTGGTGATATCTAGTGAATCATTTTGGCAGAAGAACTGGCTTGAACATCCTAAAATTGGTTGGTGGCCAAAATGTGGTTTGACTACAAAATGGCTAAGAAAGAACTGTAAACCGTCCTTCGTGGCTATACGTCTTATCGCTACTGGACAAGACTACTCATTTGGAATATGTCTGCCCAGTGCACTAAATCCCTGAGCGCCTGTCCAGGTCAATCGATTCTGAAGTGTCAGCCAAGACCAGTCCGTCCGTAAGTGCCAGCAGAGACTTGTTAGTCCCAAAGAGACCCTCCAGCGAGATTCCAAGAGCAAACAAGAATGCATATCTGACCCTCCCCATTGTCTTCACGACATCTGCCATGTTGACACAATCATACCAGCTGTAGGTGCAATGGAATTTCTTCTTTTTATGTTAATTGCATTCAGTATGAGTGATCTCTGTGGAATATAATTGCAAAGCATTTCTTGATAATTGCTTAGTTGTTCGCTCCTGCAGGCTAGAGGGAGAGAGGGTGCCACGAACTCTTGAATTCCTGTAAGTGCAGCAGTTGTCTTCACACTGAGCATGAGCCTGTGAGGCCTTCGCACCTGACAGTAGATTGGTCCACCGAGAGGGAGCTGAATGCCGGCAGTATTGTGCTCTAATGAGGAGCAGTCTGAGAGTATTATGGGCTGTATTCACTGAGGGGAGATCTGAGAGGGTGGGCGCCAGGTTTGAGGTTTACGGCTGCATTCTGCTATGGATAATAGCCAGAGCTGGGTTGAGCCGATGCTCAAAATGTGGGATTCTGGGAAGGGCCTCGATGCAGCCTCCATAAAGGCAACACTGGTTCACATAGAGAATATTTGAGTAGGAATATTTACTCTTTTAGCTTCTCTTGGTGCCGGGGCTGATTTATGGACATATTGGATTTGTTATACTGGGTGCATAATTTAGAAAAGTGAAAAAGGAAAAGACAGAGAGAAAAATGAAGAATGCTCTGTAGAAACATTTTTGATGGTAGATCCTCTTATCTTAAAGCTTCGCTTGCCAGAGAATATGAGGCGTGTGTGGTAGATATGAAGATAGAGAGATGGAGTGGAGATAAGGCTTGGCTTGGAGCTATTTTTCTGCTACAATGCTTTTCTAGTCTGCACTTCACTGCTTTTACTTAGTTTTGCCATGCCCTGGATGGTCAAAGCAGTCTGACAGAGTAAGGGTGAGCTGAATCTTATAAACTGTATATAGAGTTATGAGAAATGTTATACCACTTTATCTATAGTGTATGACTGTATCACGATAGTTATTTGTCCTGGAAAATCAACTAAAAATGGATTAGTGAATTAAAGGTGAAGTGTGATATTTCTGCACCATTAGCTGCATCACATGGAATTACAATCTGTTTGTTTGAGGGACCCGACTGGCCTGGATATATTAATAATGGCTCAACCATCTTATTAGTTTGGGACAGAAGTACCTGTTTGTCCAACCAGTGTCTTAAATGTGTTAGGGGAAAACATTATTTTTGCAATCGTGTTTTAATAGTAATAGTGGCACAGAAATAAAAAAAAGAATACGTTTTTAAAATTCACATTATGTAACATTGCTAAATTCCACATTGAAGCCATAGTAAAATAGCCAATACATGCATCCTACATATATTACAATAATCAGGTGCACACAGCATAAATGGAAGTGAACTTGTGCATTGGTGTTACCTTCAAGTCAGAATGTGTGTCATGTTGTGACTAGGCCTGTCGCAATAACTTATCGTGTAATATATGTACATGACCTCAATAATTTGTGCTGTGATTGGTTAGCTGGGCCAGTGTGTTTTGTGATTGGTTAGCTGGGCCAGTGTGTGTTGTGATTGGCACCACTTGGCACCTGGTCGGGAAATGTCATGCCCGTTACCATAGCCGCCTGTGAGCTTCAGTGTAAATATTGCGTCAATATCAAATCAATTTGAGCATGATTTAAACCCGGATGATTGTAACCACTTGGGAAACCACGTCTGCCTTGGAAAAGCTAGCGTGTCTCCGACATAGTGATAACACTCGTTGCCTTCTCTAGTGCAGCTCAACCAGGTCTCATCCCATTCGTCGATATTTGTGATATCACAAATCCCGTAAAATATGCGTTATAGTCCAAACGAGTCGTTCGTTGTAGTTTTTGAAAAGTGATTTCTGTTAAATAAAATATCTCCTTTTGAAGTGGACTTTGAACTTTGTAACTTTGCAGATCTTGTTTATGCTCAAACAGCAACATTACAGACTAACTAAAGTTGAAAAAGTGAAAAAGCATAATAGGACCCCTTTAAGGTATCTAATATTTTCATAATTAATTTTCATGATCTAAATATTCTTAAAAATTAAAAGTTTGTTGTCATTTGGAAGTGTGTAGGCCTTCTTGCATTATTATGCTGTTACATTATGATTATATATTCAGTGGCATAAAATGGTCTTTAAAATGACAATAATATCGCTTATCGCAATTATTTCTGAGGCAATATATCGCACAACAAAAAGTTGTTATCGTGACAGGCCTAGTTGTGACATGGACAATAAAGCATTTATTTGACATTTAAAGAATGTTATCATCAAAAAAATAAAAGAAAAAAAAACCCAACACTGCATATGAATTCTACTGAAGGTTGTGAAACACACACTGTGCTTCACACTGCTCCCTTTATAAAACTTCCTCCCCATCAATAAAAGCAAAGCAGTCATGCATACTAATATGTATAGATGCAAAACCTTTGCCAAATGAGACATTTCTACCAACTCACACTATATACCATCACCTGCCCAGCCCCAATATTAGTGTTTTATGAGTGCTCTTCCAACACACTGGCACTTGCAAGGTTAGGAGATGTGATTCACTATTAAAGCCCACCCCAAAATCCGACCTGAATCCCTGCCTCCCAATCCTCCTCCCTCCAGTAGATGATGAACGGCAGCCCATGGTGTAGAGGGGGGGAAACAAATTGTTATCTCTGTCTAATAAGGCATTTTAATTGTATGGGTTTAATTTAAATACACAGATTTACAGCTTCACAAACTCTCATCACGCCCATTTAAAAATAACTGGGAAGGTCTCTTCCTTGATCCCCGTCTGTGCGCTATGTCTCTCACTCAAGGCTATTCCGGAGAGAGAGGAACACATCACAAAAAAAGGTGTTAGATCTTTGCCATGACCAAGCTAATTATCAGCACTGTACTTGATGAGCCCATGCAGTCCCCTCGGTAACTGTCACACAGTCTAACACATTTGGAGGTTATAGGGAGAGAGTTTTGGGAAGATCCATGAACTGTGAAAGCACAAACACAACACACAGCAACACATTCAAACAAATCTCTCCTTACGGAGTCAGGCCATGCCACTGTGAATTGAGTATTGAGGGTTTTTTTTCACACCTCAGGAGAAGTCTTTTCGAACAAACAAACTCCTCTTAATTAGTTTTTTACGGACCAGGAAGGAAAGCAGTGAAGCCAGTCATCACGCTCAATCCTCACTGGCAATAAACGGCAAACAAGGCCACTATGTTTACACTCATCAGAGCTTAAACTGGGAGAGCTTGAGCCAAGGATGTCACACGCACCTGAGCACATTGCCACGCGCACTGAGTCATCGGTGAGCATATTACCATTCGTTCTGTCACGCTCCACTCTCCGCATCTGTCACTAAATTTGGCTGAGATTTTAATTTTTAGCAGATGGGGACTGGGCCTGGAGCTGGATGGAGGGCAATGGGGAATTGGAACGGTAGTGCCTGCCTAGGTCAGGGCTTCCAGGCGGATATGTCAGAGGCAAATGAATCCTGGGGCTGTCGTTGACCCCATCAAGGTTAAATTTCAGACTTTTTTGAAGGCTGACTTCCTCATCCTCTCCAAGAGGTTTAGGTGACTTTGGTGGCTTACCTTTTTTACCCTTTCTCCCCTTGCCACTTTTTGGCCCTTGCTTGGGGGCATACAAATCTTTGGTCTCCTTCTTGCCAGCCTGATAACCACTCTTAGCTTCTCTTTGAAGGCGATGCCTGCCCCCCTCCCGCCACTCCAGCTAAACTGCCATATACAATGTTGCTTCTTTGAGCAGCCAAACCGTAATCTGGGTCTCCTGCAATATCCATGTCTAGTGGGGTGTACAAGCTATGCCCCACAAGTGCCTCCACATGACTTACGTTGGCAATGGTTTCATTTACGTAAATGTGTACCAAGGCAATGGCGTGGCGGGAAGGTTTGCCCCTATCGCTCACCTTTACCACCAGTCGATGCAGACCATTATGTTTTCGAGTTAGTTCCTTGGTTAATGTGATCTCACCATTAGATGGAGTGATATAAAAAAGGTCATGTGGATTTCCCCCAGCAATGCTGTATACTAGCTCAGCATTGGAACCAGAATCAATGTCCTCAGCTTCGACCACTTCCACAACACTGTCTGGAGCAGCCATAGGAGACAGACGTATGAAGGATGAGTTAGATGGTTTGGTGACAACAGGGGCATTATCATTCTCATCGAGGACATTGATGGTCACTCCAACGTAAGATGACCTTGGTGGATCCCCTCCATCTACAGCTTTCAAGCGGAATGTGTAACTGCTCTCCTTCTCTCTGTCAAATGAGATACTGGACAGAATAGTGCCAGTCCCATTCTGGATCACAAATTTGCCCACATCCGGTTCCACAGAAAGTTGCACTTGAGCATTCTCACCCTTGTCCATGTCCTGTACTGTTACCATGCCAACAGGGCTAAGGGGTGACCTGTTCTCCAAGACTGAGAAGCTGTATCCACTCAGCATGAACTTGGGATCATTGTCATTCCGATCAAGTACTTTGATTACAACTGTGGCAGTACCCTTTTGACTGGGAACCCCTTTATCTGCTGCAGTAACACGGAACTCGTAGCGCTCCTTGTGCTCACGATCAAGAGGGCTCCGAGCACGTATTTCACCTGAGTTAGGGTCAATCTCAAAAAGTCCCCTTGTTGAAGAGTCTGCAATAATGCTGTAGACCAGCTCTGCATTAGTGCCACTGTCTGCATCTGAGGCGACTACATCTACCACCTTTTCTCCTGGCTGGTTCTCCTCAGCAAACTCCACTTCAAACAGAGTCGGTGAGAAAATGGGGGAATTGTCATTTGTGTCAGTCACTTGGACTTTTAGCGAGTTAGTGCTGGACAGAGCTGGATTGCCTGAATCCACTGCCACTATCTCCACCCGGTAGTCCCTAACCCTCTCATAGTCCAGAAGTGTTGTGGTCTGCAGAAAATACTTCCTCTTGTTGTCAACTGATGAATCACTGGCTGGCCGAAGCTGGAAAGGAACATCACCAGCAACCACACATGTCACCACAGCATTCTCTCCCTCGTCCTTGTCTGAAACCTGGACCAATGCCACTGCAGTGCCTACAGGCATATCCTCTGAAATGTTTGCTACTCCATCACTATGGGTCACAAGACCAATGCCTCGGATTTCCACTGCTGGTGCATTGTCATTTTGGTCAGTCACATCAATAGAAACATATGTTTTAGAACTTTTGGGTGAGGGGCCTTTGTCTCGTGCAACGACATAAAACTTCAAATTGTTGATCTCCTCATAATCCAATGGGCCTTTGACATATATGATGCCTGATGAGCGGTCTATCCGGAGAAGTTTTGGCACAGGATCAATGGCCTGATGTAATGTGTATTCAATCTCACCATTAGGACCCAAGTCTGAATCATTAGCCTTCACCTGCAATAGAAAATATAGTTATTGAAACTTTGAAAATATAGTTATTTCACTGAAATACATTTAAATGAAAAGTAATAAAAAAACAGCTAAATGGATTTTACATATACTCAAGACAATGTACAAAAATCACTGTAGGACAAGACTGCAAAAAAACATTCATTAACATTCAGTGGGTTTTTAAACAGTGAATCTATTTATAACACAAAACTGGGAACATAGTCAAAGCATTGCATAACAGAATTTCTGGGGCACATGCTATCTATAAAGAGTGGGATTTCTTAAAAGAAACTTCACAGACTACTCAGATCATCTTAATAATTTAATCTTAAAAGTTATAGTGATTTATTATTTAACCAAATGAGCATGTAGGCTATTTTATTTAACCAAATTAATGTGTATTTTTTTACTTATTTATTCTTTAACTAGATGAACGTGTATGTGATGATCAAACTGGATAATTCAAATAATTAAGGAAAATGAATCTAGTAAGTCAGGCCCTGCTCCACTGATGTAAGGCATCAAAGTAAAGAACAGACAGCTGGGAGGTTGGAAAAGCAGCACTCATTAAAATTTCACACTTCAACATGATGCAACAGGCAATTTATCTAGCTTTGTTCGGATATAAAGGTTGACTTAGCATTTTTGCCATTTTACCTGTAACACAGAATGCCCAACTGGGCTGTTCTCTGCGACCTCTGCTTCGTAGGAGGATTTTTCAAATTGGGGTGCATTGTCGTTGGCATCAGCAATGACGACCCTTAGCAAGGCACTGCTGTAGCGAGGTGGATTGCCTCCATCCACAGCTTTGATGGTGAGATCGTAGGAGTCTTTCCGTTCTCGATCAAGGCTTCCCAACACAATGAGTTGAGGCAATTTTTCACCTCTGTCCTCTGCAACTTGCAGACCAAAGAGTGCTACAGCCTCTGGTCCTGCTGTTAAGGTGTAGTCAGCTACTCCATTTCTCTCTGTATCTTTGTCAGTGGCCAGTGGAATTGAGAAGAGTGCCCCCACGTGGGTGTTCTCTGGAACTGAGAGGGTTAGGACAGGTGAGGGGAACTGTGGTGTGTTATCATTGATATCCTGCACTTCGATCCTTCCCTCTATCAGCCGTGGACTCTGATTCTGAATAAGGTCTGTGACAGACACCTCAAACTCCAGAAAGCAGGGCTTGCCTTTATTACGACAATCCTTCAGTGTCTCTCTGTCTATGGGGATCTCAGTTGTAAAGATATCTCCAGTTTTGCCATCCACCCGCAGATAGGGAGCGCCCACCTCCAGTTTGTACAGGTGTCCAGTGTCTGGTAGGCCCTGGTCAGCCGCCAGACTGCCAATCAGTGTGCTCGGAGGTTGTTCCTCATGCATGCGGTATAGAATGCCACCCACCGCACCACTCAGCAAGTCCAGTAACAGTCCCCACAGCAGAAACAACACCACAGGGAGATCCATGGGCCCTTGGAGAGGTAACACCTCAGTCTGCAAAACAGTGTGGAAAAACATGTTAAATCGTAAACAAGTGTGTCATGTGGTACTCATTTGAACAAACATAGAAAAACTAATTTCCTTTTTTCTTTTAATTTACTTTACCAGTGAGGGACTAGCCAAGGGTGAAACAGAATGCACACAGCACACACTGTTTTGTGTACACATTGTGAGCACTAAATCCAAGGCTAAGAGTCGTAAAAGCTCTCCGGAAAATGCCTCTTCCCCCGACACCACTAAAAGCCTCCTCTCTCATTATCTTACATTATTTATCATCCTCATTTTTGAGCAGACGATTACTTGTATGTAAAGAAACACAATAAAGACCTACTGTACAAATGTCGTTCAAAAAGGTGTTTGAAACCATGGTAATGTTTTCAACTTCAGCCAATGATTTAGTACCTTAATTGCTACAACAATGCTTAATTTCTTCAATCTGGAAGTTACATCATCCCTATTAATACCACATAGGAAAATGTTAATTTTTAAGTCTTTTTTTAAGATGCTTTTGAAAATTAATGATTTAGAACACGCAATAAGACACTTCTTAATGGACTTTTTAATAAGAAGGTATGGGTTACTGTTAGGCTCGAAACAACAGCTCAGCAAGCTTTGTACTATTTACAAAATAAATTAAACCATCTTACATGCAGTTTATAATGCACTTTCTTCAACATATGCTTAATCCAATGCATATTCACAGCCAGTGATCGGGCTATTATTTTGGATGACTTCACTTTAATGAAGGTTACACTCATTTGATTGGCCCATAACGTAAAATAGGCAGTTTCTCAATGCAAAGTGCTGATGAGACAAAAGGTACGAAGAAGACTGCTAACACAGCAAAGGAACCATTCAGCATCACAGAATGTAAGCTGAAAGATTCCCCTCAGTGAAACACTGGTATATTAAGACGCTGCACTCTTAAGTCACAGAGCACCTTAAGGCCAGCCCTTATCTCAAAGTACAGATTTACTCAAGACAGATGAGGAATATCTGTCCTATCAAGGCTCAGAAGTTTCAGGCTAATTTACACACTGTAATGCTCATGTTTGATTTTCAACCTGCTAGGCCTCCTCATTAATTACTATCCTCTATTTTAGCATCTGCTTTGATCTGTATTCCCCTGGATCCAGGTTTCTCTCCTTTTTAAGCACCATATAGTTTTTGAGTTTAATTATTTTCTGAGTGAGATGATGTTGTGCCTTTAAAAGACAGTAGACAGTTTATTCATCTGGGGCACTTAATGCTACGGTCTTTGAAGACCCCATATGTTTATATGCAAAACATCCATGTAACATCTAGAATGGAGCATGAGTCAAACCAGAATCAATACAGGCTTTGCAAGCGGCCATGATACAAAGGAAAGTAAATAAGTGTTATACAAAATAGCTAAACACAAGAATGCATAGAAATCCAATCAGAAATCCAATTCCTTCGTATCTGTTAAGATTGGGAGTGCAGCATATTGATGCACTAATTGCCCAGGTATTGATGTGTCCTCTTTTTTCATTTGTAGGGCAGTCTCCTGTCGATTTAGCTGTGCTGATAGTGTATAGTGTAAAAACATGATTAGGGGCTGTGGCATAAAGCACAGCCTCTGAAGGCCCAGGCAATAACTTGCACTCATGGCAGTGGGAAGGTGGTAATGCAGTGAGCAACCACACCAGCAACCACATAAGTAATGCAGTGAGACTGGAACACTGGATCTACTGCTACAGAATACAGATATGTAAAAATGCTCCTAACGGTGGTGATATGTTGGCCCATGCATTATGTCTTAGTGGAGAAAATGCAATTTTGTGGTGTTTTGGTGCATTGTTTTTTGTTTTTGTTTTTTGTTCTTCTCAGAATTTATAAACCTTAATGGCTTTAAGTATGCTGCTCCAAATAACTGACTAGTGCATGTAATGATTTGTGACAAAAAAAAAAAAATGCAGGCAATAAACCTGCCTACAACTGAGGAACCTTCAAGCCAGTTCTACTGTATAACCACGCAATTCAAACTGAATAGAAATTCACTGACACAGCACTGCACTACATAGACAAAAGCACAATAACTACACATTTTGTCAAAAGTGGGTTATGACCGATATTGGGTCTCTTAGTCTATGGTCTGTCCTCTGACAGACAAGTCTAGCTGAACTATCCTCAGATTCAGAGAAAACAGAGTATAAAAATCAATCAAAAAAAATGAAGCTCTTTTTCCTCAGTTCCAGCACTGACATGGTTATTGCATTTTGCCTTTGTTGGGGCGATTCACAGGAAAGTGAAAACATTTTGCTGAAGATATGTGTAAGGGGGAGGTTCATTTGAGTGCTTTTTCATGCCACATTTGACAGGCTGTAGAAGCCATTATCATTTTAACTCCCTCAGCAGCCACAATAAATTGACAGAGATTCATACATGGATCTAGCAAATCGTAATAATAATAATATTAAAAATGTAAAACACGGAAACATGCTTTACATAAGAGACTCTTCAAACACCCCAAGAGCATAAGCACTTCATCTCATCCTGATAAGAGTCTACAAACACTCAACAAACTATTTAAGTGCTGTTGATTTTTAGCTATTCAGAGTCCCTCATGAACAAAAGGTTATTATAATAGCTCTGAACTCAAGTGTAAGCACCAGAAAATATGTTGATGAAAACATTAGCTATAGGGTCTGTTTCAAAGACATCAGTTGGTTTCATGCTGTGGAGAGGCAAAGAGCAGAACATATGTTCACTATGTATCACTTCCCTAGTGAACGCTGGTAAACACCTAGACAATCTAAACGAACCAGCCACATTCAGCCAGTGTATCAGTCTCACACAGTGCTGAGAATATTCAGAGGTCTGTTGAAAATCCAGCACAAGCACTTTCAGACAGAACCCTTAGTTGTACATTTCAAGCCTTGCTTACACTGCACAAGATGCCTGCAACAATTTCAGAAATGAACATGCAGGAGAGCCACCCTAAACAAGTTCTTAAGTCATTTTCACTTAAGTCATTTTCTTGAGACTGATAGTTCATGCAGACTGATAGTTCCTTTTATTTTCCCTGAAGTATTGTGACCTTTTATTTTTCTGCAGTGCTGTAAATCATCTGTTATCACATTCATTCAGGTTCAACAGGTTTAGCATTTCAGCTCAGTCCAATTAAATCAGTTACTCATATTATTAGCCATACCTTTCCCTATGGACAAACGCTGGGTCATTTTACAGGCAAATGAATTCAGAAATGTCTGTTTAAGACCATGCATCCTTTGCATAAACTCATTAGGAATACTATAATTTCTTTTATTGTTAAGTGCATTATTAGTTTGCTTTTTTTTTGTTATTGGTAGCTTTATGATAATGTATGTAGTAATAATAATACTAATACTAATACTTATTATTATTATTAATATCATCTCACAGGGGGTTTGTCTTGGATTGTATTTATTTATTTATTGTAAACCCCACTTTGTAGACGCACACCATCCTTTCCTTTGAGCTCAGACAGGGTTGTGGGTTGAGATGGTGGATGGGGGGATCCTGTAATCAGTTTTACAGGGATTTGACCAAACATTGATCCTGCTGTTGACCCAGCCAGCCCAGGTGGGCGCTCGACTGCGATTTCCTTTTTATCTGCAGCCCAGTGGAATAAAATCCAACCTAGTGCGGCTACATGACGAGTTACTAACGATAATAATGTTATACATGACTTGCACTCGCGCACGGCAAACAGCACATTCAACTGGTCGTTCGTCAACTATCTTCACCGCAGCTGGATCACGAAACGATCCGCAAAACGTTTACAGCACTAATAAATAAGAATCGTGAATTCGCGTCGCATTAAATACTAGTGGCAACAAACAAGTGGTTATTTGTATTTAAACCTAAACAGCCCGATTGATTCTGCGGCACATAAACCCCGTCTAAATGCGGTCAGAATCTCGAAATAATAAGGGCTGCCACACATATCACTGAAATCGATAGGCACTTCAAAATCACTATAGTTTCTGCAGTGGCATACCGCTGCGTATCGAAGATTTAAATATGAGCCAACGACATAACGAGCATTCCCCTCAGCTGTATTAATTTTCCAGTGGCGTCAATAAAGTGCATTGCCTACCTTCGTCGATCACTTTTTTCCTGCCGAGACCGAGGCTTCTTGTCTGAGGATCAACTACAGTTGATGTTTCCTTCGTGGTTACAAGGACCCCTAAACACCTGCTTTAAAGAATCCAGACATCAAGAAAACATAACATCCTTTCGTTTGAAACCAATCCATAAGTGAACGCGTTATTTTCCCACGCCATTCCCACGACTCCGCGTCAGTTTGAAAACGTCGGCACTCATTTAAGTGTTAATGGATTAGAAATTACGGCTGATGATGGGTGTTGAACTGTCTTTTCTGTTGTTTCTCAACACAAGAACAGTTCTAATACGAGCGACTCCCCCCGGTTCAGTCCATAAATCCTCAAACATTCATTTTAGGAGAGTACAGGTTCTCACAAATTTTGACAGTGCAGCTCGTTATTCGTTATGGAATGATAGCGTAATCTACCGGAAATAATGTAAAAATGTAACAGTACATGGCAGAACGTATGGAATCGGGTTTTCGCCCTTCGCTTTCCTCAGAAGTAGACTATCAACGCAGTTTTGGCACAGGGGTCTTCTCCGCACAGGGTTAATCCTGCATTTCTATGCATGCGAGAGAGTGAGTGAAGAGATTTCTCAGCACCGCGCGCTGTCGCCCCTCTAGAAGCGCGCACAGGCGGACGCGCAGACCGACAGGAGGTGGGGCTCTTGTGCGCCACAGGCTGTTTGATGAAAAAGGCACAATTAGGTTAGGAAAATAATTGTTAATAGCCTAATATATATGGCCCATATCCTTTTGTTTCATTGCTTCCTATTAGCAAGACAGATTCGTGACCAAATCGGGTCAGACCTCTTCAATGAATTGTTTTAACCAGTTCACACAACCAGAATTTGACTGAATCGGTTCACGAGTCATTGAACTTTCTTGTGTTCAAAACAACACCGCCGTTATCGGACCGAGAAATGTGGTCTGATAGTAACAACACCCTTCGGAATGAACTGAGGATTTGACGGATGGACCTAAAAGCGAATTACTTAAACAGCAGAAAATCAGAATGTTAATATACAAACGAAAATTTCCAAATGCTGCAAGTTGTTATTTTAATGAGCCGAGTTGGCTATATAGGAAATGGACTGGTAGACATAAAATTTACAGTAAAAATGCCTTTAAATAAAATGTAATCAAAAACAGGGACCACGTGATGGCCTTATTAAAAATATCACTTTAACCGGTTTTGGAAACTGTTCCAGGGAAAACGATTCGTTTAGAGGTGATTCGTACGCATCACCATTTCGTTTAGCAAATGTTTTTTTTTTTTTTTTTTTTTTTTTTTTTTTTTTTTTAATTAAAGTTGTTAGTTTTAAAGAGGTGGCTTCAAAGTCTTTAAGCATCAGAGCCTTCCAAGGGTCACCCACGGGGCACTGCTGGCTGTGTCATTACTTTCTCGTGCATGGATCATAATACTGAGCAATTGGGTCATAAAATGTGATGATTATTGATCGATTTGGAATCGCATCCAATGAACAAATACAGTTTGATGCATTCAACAGTTAAGAGCTGAGCGCTCTTTGCTCTTTTGGCGCCACCCACGGGCGTTTGAATGTACACACGGCTGGCAAAGCGTGTTCACGTTTGCTCTAATCTACCCTATAAATCCACTCCCCCATCGCCCACGCCCACGCGCGCGCGCGCGCACACACACACACACACACACACGCACACACCGACAGAGCCGCTGTTGTTGTTCTTATGCTGAAGAAAGGATGCTAGATCGTGTAACAGAAGACTAGACTTCATCCCTGAACATGCCGTTTTGAAATGGGCACATATAGGAATGAATGGAGATGTGTGATTAAGCTTTGAATGAAGACACTCGACAGCAACAACAACAGAAAGGAAACATCTGCTGCATCTATGTCATGTATGTTTATTTCTTGGTTAAATTTGGGCAGGTGTGGGCTCATGCCATAATGACAAATGAAATCATAATGAAATAAAAAAAACACTGCCTTGTGTCACAGCTACATTTACATGCAACCAAATGCATGTAATCCGATTGATGACTTAATTCTGATTGAAAATCCTTCATGTAAACACCTCAATCAATTCAATCGAATTGAAAGGGGTGGTGTAGACATGAAATAATCTGATCAATAGAAAAAAAAAGCATGTACAGGGGCGTGTTTAGAGTTTTGGGGGCCCTAACAAGTGGTACCCGAGGGGTCCCCTTGGTAGAAATCATGTTCTGCAGAGGCCTCCCTGGACTGCGGGGCCCCACTCAATTGTGTACTGAGCATGTAAACGCTTGAATCATCTTAATCGGATTCAAAAACACCTTTTATGCATATTTACATACATTTTACGTTGTACGAACATGCCTGTTTATTTCCATCTTTCATCTTACGAACTGGTCAGTGGAGGAGACAGAATATGTACTAAATGTGTGCGAAAAAAGCTCTTCTGACATATGTCAGCTTTGTTTTTAGATGTGTCATCAAAGCAAAAATCACAATTGCACTCACAGTAGCTCTGGTGACGTCATTGCGGTGACTTTATCCAGTTCTGAATGCAACAAACGGCATCTTTAAATGAATATGTGAATCGGACTGTAAAGTTTAGGGTTTATATAAACAGCACTTTTAGAATATAAAAGCAGATTGGATTCATTCTGATTGGTGAAAATTGGTGCATATAAACATTGTGTCTAAAACTCAGTGTTTTGTTAGCATCAGTGCTATATTATCATAGTCATTTAAGAGCCAAGATAGTAAGAGAATATCATGCAAATACAACGGATTTGGAAGTCGTGATTGTATGCTGACATTTAGGTCTCTCCTCTTGGAGTTATAAATTACATTTTGGGAGAAATATGTTCATCTAATCCTGTCAATCACCCTAACTCCACCTATATTTCTACTCATTTCTGTTCTACATTCTGTATTTAGCTAGTCGAGGGGACAATTTAGAGTTTGAATTGTTTCGTTCTCAAGCCCTCCATTAGAGACAGCAAGCCAGCAAGTTTACCTTCACCGCATTCAAGCATTATATTAACATAGGAACTTTTGAACTCTCATTCATCCTTAATTTAAAGATATCATTCACCTGAAATGAAGATTTACCAACCCTCATGCCTTTTGAAAACTGTGTAATTTGAAAAATTGTGTAATTGAAAAATGACTGAAGCTGTCAAGCAATATTTTGCTGTCTAAGCTACTGGATGACTTCTGAATTTAGCGCACAAGTCTGTAAACAAGTATGAACTACTTTTAGTGTGCTTTTCATCCTTGTTGCTTGACAGCCCCTGGTCCCCATCCACTTTCATTGTACAGAAATCTTTCTGCTAAACATCTCTATTTGTGTTTAGGAGGTTTAGAACAACATGAGGGTGAGTAAACAATGACAGAATTTTTAATTTTGGCAAAACTATCCCTTTAAGTACCTTAAAAACTGTCTGCCAAGGCCTTTATTGATTGCCGTGAGACCAGCGGAGCAGAAGTAGAACCTGCTATTCTTAATTCAGTGTTTACATTGCAAAACTGAGTATTCAAATCAATATTTTTAGCCCTGTATGTTTTCAGCACGGTAGATGTTTCCTACACTGGGTGTAGCATGCCACCTGATGCTGTCTGTTAAAATCATGCAGCTCCCTCCAGCCGAGAGGAGGTCTGTATAAAAGAAAGATAGCAGGCAGTTTGTCCTTCAGAAAGAGTCCAACAGACATTTTGTGATTTTTTTGTGTTGGAAACTACACGTTTAATTATTTCCACCATGCTGTGGGGGGTTTATAAAAGCTCAGAGAGAAAGAACAATTGAGGCAGGATTCTGTATAGATAAAACTGTGCCAATCCACCGCATATCGTTACCAAAATCACATGACCTAAGTGCTAAAAATGGTTCATCATCTTTTTATATAGTCATCTTTTATGAAAGATCAATACAATCTTGTTAAACCTAATTATCACAGACACAGCAAAGCTTTGACAAGCCACATCTCCCTGGTCTCTGTGCAAACATCAAATCCGATCTGTGGTGAACAGCGGTGGCAGAACCCAGGAGCCTCCAGAGTGGCTCACTGCAGCAGACCCCCGAGCCCGGCCCTCAGGGAGAGGTAGGACTTCTTCTTTTCTGCCAGGCACTCTGAAGGCAGCCTCTTTCAAAGAGTTCCAGCGTGTGAGCCTTTCTCTCTCCTCTACCAGTCTCTCATTAGCAGCAAACAAACAGCTGTTGGGTTAACTCTCCTGGGCTCTCATTAAGTGCTGCCAATCATTCACGAGCCTGGCGCCAGCCAATCAAAGCGAAGCTTCTACCCACGCTGTGCCCGCCTACATGCAACAGGGAGGAGGTCAGAGGTCAGCTATGTATGAAACGGCATTTTTTCACTGTATCTTTGTGTCTCACAATTAGGGCTGTACAATTAATCGAAATAAAATCGAACTCGCGATATGACTTAGTGTGGTTATCAAATTGCTAAGGCTGTGATTTAATTGAATATATGTGCTGTGTTTTTCAGAGTGAAGCATGTGGCACTGTGTTGTTCTTACATGTGAGCAGCTCATTATCTGAGGTGTCTGCAGTGTCTCACAGCAGCTCGGTTTGCAGTAAATGCTGTTCCACACAAACTCTCATCTCTGCATCTGCTCTTAGTTTGAGTCGCTTTAATGTGTATTTGGCAACCATCTTTCCATACTTGTAATAAGAAGCATAAAACAGAAGCTTTAAGGGCTCCTTGTGGTTTTACATCAAAATAAAAGTTGGTTTGGTTTGGTTTAATATATAAAAATGAAGAAACTAAGACAGCCATAAATATTAGCATTGTAACTTTATAGTTGTAATGTAAAATGAAAATTATTATTACGATTTTTTAAATACAAGAGTGATATTTTTCTTATTTGGTTTTATTTAGTAATTTTTTATACTTGAAGCAATTGTTCACTCAAAAATGAAAGTTTACTCACCCTCAGGCCATCCAAGATGTAGATGGGTTTGTTACTTCATCGGAGCAGATTTGGAGAAATTTAGCATTACATCATTTGATCACCATTGGATCCTCTGCATGCAGTGAATGGGTGCCGTCAGAATGAGAGTCCAAACAGCTGCTAAAAACATCACAGTAATCCACAAGACTCCAGTCCATCAATAAATGTCTAGTGAATTGAAAAGCTGTAAAAAGGGCATATTTTCAGCTATTTAATAATAATTATTATTATAATTAATAAATGACAATATAATTATTATTGTTATTATTAAATAAAATGTAAAAAAAAATAATATTGATCATTTATTATTATTATTATTATTATTATTATATAGCCATATTGATATACAATATAATCACAAAATGTTGGCGCCAAATTGGACAGCCCTACATGTATTTTAAATTGCAAAAAATTGTGCAGCCCTACTCACAAGCATTACAGCCAACAAAAAAAGGTAACAAAAACACACTTGCCATTTAATTGCTTTTTTTTTGCCTCTTGTTGAAGTGGCGTTAGAAACCCAAACGGTAGTAAAGACATATTTTACAGAATTCTGTTAAATACTCCAGACAGAAGCAGCTTGTCTCAC